GCAATACTTTGAGAAAAACAATGAGAACCTCCTTGTATAAAAGAGTTTCATGCGATTTGAGCCATCATTGAATTCATCTAGAAATGGTAAAGAGGACTTTCTGAAGTTTAATGCGAGCATCAGAATTGAGAAGGTTTAGGTGACTTTGAAAGTGTCCTGGTATTTCATAAACTGATGATCTGCTGGGATTTTCATTCACAACCATCTACCAGGTTTAGATAGAATGATCTGAAACGGAGAAAGTTTTCAGTGAGCAGAAGTTGCAGGGATAAAAAAACGCCTCATAGAGGTCAGAGGTCAGAGAAAAATGGACAGATTGGTTCGAGATGATAAAAAGGCAACTATAGCTCTTATAACCCCTTGTTCCAACCAAGGAATGCAGTATAACATCTCTGAACACACAACGTCTTAAAGCAGATAAGTGACACCAGGTAAGGACCGCAGTTACTGGGAAACCAAGGCACCAGTTCATTGGACAATGAAAGACTGGAAAAACATTGCCATGTCTGATGGGTCTTCATTTCAGCTGTAACATTAGATCCATTCTGCCTTGTGTCAATGGTTCAGGTTGGAGGTGGTGGTCTAATGGTGTAGGAGATATCTTCTTGGTACCCTTAGCACCAACTGAGCATCGCCTTACAGTCATTTCTTGTTGTAAAGACACAGTTTTCTAAAGACAGCAAATATCTGTATTATATGATCCAAGAAAAGAGCAATTTTACATCAGAGATGATTCATAAAGATAGAATCTCTGCCAGTCCTCGGTCCCTGGATCCCTGCTGGATCAACCACTGATATTTGTCCCTATATCTGAGCTCCAGGATCATTACACAACTGCATTGTCCTTTATGTGCGTAACTGCACTTTATATCTATTAAGAAAACACATCTATGTTTCTTTGGCAACTCTCACAGTTAACGGTTTTTTATAACAATTGACTAGAAGATAAAAAAAAGAAAATCTGGAAAATTTATCACATTTTCAGGTTTTTTTTTTTTGGTAATCTTTACCTAATTTCCCTACTGCTTTCGTCTCACTGTCTGTTTTCTGCCATAGACAGACTTCTGTAATAATTAATTAGATATGTTTTCTTTCAAAGTCTGTCTGATGAAACACAAGATTGTATAAACTACTAACACGTCCTTTAAAGCAAATCTAGATTCAATAAATATGCAAACAAAATGATACAAGATGTTGGGGAGTTTTTTTCCCGCCGTTAGTTTGCAGTGAGAGGTTTCATGTTTCCACATCGTATTAAATAGTGCATTAGAGTGTGACGGGGCCTCCAAACTGCTTTAGATCCGGAAAATGGCCTGATATAAAAAAAACACAAGAACCTAACGGTAAACCAGACACTCTTCAGCAGAACTTTCTTTTGCAGACATTCCATAAATTTGTGTCATGATCATTTAATTGCAAGTGTTTTAGTGTTCATTTCTGTTGGTGCAAAGTATCAGTATAACTACCCAGACTGATTTTTACTCACAATTAAAGATGCACTGCGTGTATTGTGCTGTTTTTAAAGCTCAGTAATGTTAATTTTAAGATTTGTGGAGCTGTTTATTACTATAAAATGCTGTCACAAATCATATGGCTGACAGATTTTTCAATAAATCACTTTTAAGCTTGAGCCAACTTGATATTTGTTTTAAAATGGATTTAAAAATCCAACACTTGTGGATCTGGGAAGACTCAGCCAGCTGAGGAAGATAACATAATAGACGTTTCCCATCAAAACCAGGTTGAGGAGCAGAGGAAGGAATGCTGGCTGATGCCCTAAACCTCTAACAGTTCCTTTCCTTGCATATTTACTTCATCTTTATTTTGTTTTTGTAATTCCCTTTTCATACAGCAAGTTAATGAAACATTTTAAGAGCGTCCAAAACTAACCGAGAATGTCAGGGGAACTGTCAGCGCGTATCTTCAGACGCACAGTTCCTGAAGACATTTACCAGGACCTCTAAATAATTGATGCAGTTATGTCATAGATAAGGTTTGAATTAACAACATGTGCTCGAATGATTTCTGTTTTCCAGGGCCTCACATATGCATCAGAACCCAGCAGGTTCTTAAGCAGATGAGAGGGATAATTTAATGGAATGTCCAGAACTATTACCCTAAAGGTCAGGAGATCTGGTGGTTCTGTGATTGTGTCCATTTGACCCCAAAGACAGGGTCAGTGCAAATCAAAGTTATTCATAGTACTCATAGTACTCCTTATTTTAGGATGAAACTCTCCAGTCCTTCTGGTTACGGTTTCTACAAGTTTGAACCATCCATTAAGCTCAACAAAGCTTAGTCAATCACTTAACCTGGATGGCATTAAATTGACCTCCGATAATAAAGTAAAAAACTTGTGTTATTTTTGACCAGGACATGTCATTTAAATCCATATTAAACAGGTTTCCAGGATTTCTCTTTCATCTCCGGACAACATTGCCAAAATTAGAAATATCCTGTCCAGGATTGATGCTGGAAAAACTAGTCCATGCATTTGTTACTTCAAGGCTGGACTATTGTAATTCTTTACTATCAGGATGTCAACAAAATGCAGTTAAAAGCCTTAAGCTGATCAAAAATGCTGCAGCAAGAGTTCTGTGATGAAAATTAAAAAGAGAGATCATATTCCCACTATTTAGCTTCCCTTCATGGCTCCTGTTAAATCCAGAATAGGAATTTAAAATTCTCCTCCTCACATATAAAGCCCTTAATGATTTAGCTCCATCATACATCAGAGAGCTGATTGTTCCATATGTTCCTAACAGAGCACTTCGTTCTCAGACTGCAGGTGTTACGGTGGTTCCTAAAGTCTCTAGAAGTAGAATGGGAGGCAGATCCTTTAGTTATCAGGCTCCTCTCCTGTGGAACCAGCTCCAGTTTTAATCCGTGAGGCGGACACCTTGTCTACTTTTAGGCTTAGGCTTAAAAACTTTCCTTTTTGATAAAGCTTATAGTTAGAAGTGGCTTAGGTTATCCTGAGCTATCTCTGTAGTTATGCTGCTATAGGCTTAGGCTGCTGGAGGACATAATGACCACTTTCACCCTCTTCGCTACTTTCTCACACTACTCTCCCAATTTGTATTATTTGCTGTTATTCAGCTTTTAACTTGTTCTCTCTCTTCTTCTCTTCCTAGAAGCTACACCTGGCTGACTCTGTGTGCTACCTGTAACACCATTTCTGGAGAGGGGCATCGCTCCGAGCTTCTGCTGGCAACAACTGGTGCTTCACCCTCTACGATGATCCAAGGCCCTGTCTTTGAGTGTTTAACCCTTTCTCTCTCCTAGACATAGCTACTGACGGAGCTTTTTACTGTAACTAACTCTATGTGCTCTCTTTCAGACTCTAACCTTGAAAAACTGGCTCAGAGTTATCTGTTCTTTCTTTCTAGGTGAAAACGACTAAAGGAGCTACATCCATTAACATTTTACTTTTCCTTCCCATAGAAATGGACTCTCGGATCAGTGCTCTTTGTTCTCTTTGTGTCTCTGCTCTGTTCTCTCTAACCCCCAGTCGGTCGTGGCAGATGGCACCCGCTCACAATGAGCTGGTTCTGCTTAGAGGGTTTCTTCTGTTAAAAGGGAGTTTTTCCTCTCCACTGTCGCTACATGCATGCTCAGTATGAGGGATTGCTGCAAAAGTCAACGCCAGTGGGGGACTGTCCACTGTCTCTACATGCTCATCCGGGGAGGAGTGAATGCTGCAAGTCACTGACTGGATGCAATCTGCGGTTTCCTCTCAGATAGAAAAACTTTTTATCCAATTTGAATAAAAACACAGAATCTGACTGCACTGTTCAATGATTGGATTTAATTGTAATGCATGTACCTGACTTTTGTGAAGTGCCTTGAGACGACATGTGTTGTGAATTGGCGCTATATAAATAAACTGAATTGAATTGAATTGAAAGCGCTTAATGGGATTCTGCTCTGACTCAAGTTTCAGTGGTTGTGGGATAAACTAAGTAAAATTTCACCTGATTTAAAAGCGAAGGTAGCATCGAGGTGTTGCTAATTAAATGTATTTTATTAACTGATCATCATCACTGGTTAGTGTTAACGCAATGACAAGATGGAAAGATAACAGCAATGACTTTAATGAAGCAATTGTTGCTGCTCATCAAGATGAGGAAGGCATATGAGGCCAGCTCTAATCTATTTGAAGTCCATCATTCCACAGAGAGAAAGATCACTCACAAACGGAAAACATTTCAGACAACTGCTAATCTTCCCAGGAGTCCACATCCCAGCAGATTCAGCCCAAGGTCATAGCGTGCAGCTCAGAGAAATTACAAAGACCCAACAACTCCATCAGAGACTCTACAGGCCTCAGCTAGCATGCTAACTGTTAAAGTTTATCACAGTAAAATGAGGAAAACCCTGAAGGAGTATGCCTTATTTGGGAGGGTTGAAGGAGAATGCCTTTTCTCTTTAGAAATATAATGGCAGTATGGCTTGGATTCGCAAAATTGCATCTCAATTAAACAGAACACTTCTGTATCAAGGTCCTTGTGACAGATAAAACCTAAGTTGAAATGCTAAACCATAATGCACAGCATCATGTTTGGAAAACACTAAACAGCGCATCAGTACAACTGATACCAACTATAAGCACGGTGGTGGAGGACTGATGATTGGCGCTTGTTTGCAATAAGAGAACATGATCACCTTGAGTCATTGAGTCGACCACAAACTCCTCTGGATGCAACAGTTTTCAAGTGTCAGATGTGAGGCCATCTGTCTGACAGTGGCAGCTTGGTCCAAACTGAGCCATCAGCAGAACAATGATCCCAAACATTGTAGTAATCTATATCAGGAAGGCCAAAAAAGAAAACAATAACATAACAAAACATATTAATTACTCAGATTAATGTAACACACTTTAGCTTCTATTTAGCAACAACAACCCAGATAAACTTCAGATAAAACACTGCAGAGAGGCATTGGACTGATTAAATATTAGAATAGAATAGAATAGAATAGAATAGAATAGAATAGAGGGCTGCATGGCGGCGCAGTTGGTAGCACTGTTGCCTTGCAGCAAGAAAGGTCCTGGGTTCGATTCCCAGCCAGGGGCTTTCTGCATGGAGTTTGCATGTTCTCCCTGTGCATGCGTGGGTTCTCACCGGGTACTCCGGCTTCTTCCCACAGTCCAAAGACATGCCTGTTAGGTTAATTGGTCTCTCTAAATTGTCCTTAGGTGTATGAATGAGTGTGTGCATTGTTGTTTGTATGTTGCCCTGCGATGGACTGGCGACCTGTCCAGGGTGTACCCCGCCTCTCGCCCATAGACTGCTGGAGATAGGCACCAGCTTCCCCACGACCCACTATGGAATAAGCGGTAGAAAATGACTGACTGAGAATAGAATAGAACAGCCAGGGCAAATTTACAACATAGGAAAAATAATACTGCAAAGTTAATAAAAATGATATTTAAACAAATGTTCATGTGCATTTGTGCATAGAAACAGAAAACCAAAAAAATACTTTTAGAACTAATTACCTGATGCTAATTTGGCTTTACCCGACTTCTTTTCTCTTACCTTCAAGGAAAACTCCAAGAAGTGTAGAGAGTCTCACTGTGGAAAGGTTTGATTTTATTGCCAGAATTTAAGCATCCTGCCTGTCCACGATCAACCAAAGCCTCTGAAGCTTGTCCGGGTTTTCTTCAGTATGATAATATAATTTACACCTGCCTGAGACTGATCTAAAATACATGTTTAGGCTCATGGGTCTGTTCTCCCTTTTTAGTCGTGGAACATCTGGTTGGGCCTCTGCAGACATTTTGCATCTGCCAGACTGTGGAGTGTTAAAATATGTGAGACGCCCACAGGGAGCTTGTTGTAGATATACACACTTATTTTCTTTTCCAGAAACCACACAAGAATAAAAGAGAAAGGAGAGAGAGAGTAATTAGAAGAAAAAGGGTACACATCGGCACAAACATTCAGATCTGAGCAGTGGAAGTTAGACGCGACAGAGAGCAGAAAACAATCAGGGACGTGAACAAAACAAGTCAGTTTGATTCAAATATAGTAAGTTTAATGTTAGACACTGTTTCTAATTAGTAATCATGTTTTAATGTTCATGTCAAGGATATGTTTACAGTAGATCAGTCGGGTTTCTGTTACATTTCACAATAAAGAACAGAAGAGTTTACAAGCTGGGACCGCCAATGTTTCTGAGTCAGGCTGAGGTCAACTGTTCTACAGAGTCAACCCGAATGGTACTGCTTCTTTATTAAATGATCATTTATCAACCCCTGGAATAAATATTTAATAATACCTCCCAGAAAAACTTCAGACTGCTGTTATAATTCGTAGAAACAAAATCACAGATGTGAGACAAACTGGTTTAAATACCAGCTGAATATTCTGACTTTGTAAAACATACCTCAGAAATATTAAAAGACAAAAACTATTCACACTTTTTTCAGATCAAGCAGCTCAAACATTATATTATGTGGCGTCTTTTATGGGATCTGTGATTGCAGAAGAAACATTTGAGCACTGCTTGCTAAGTGGAGAGACACATTATTATCCTGACTAATGACTTCATCAGCAAACCTGCTGTGAATTGATGAAATGAGAAAATGTCCACCTGAGGTTTTCCTGTAGATACCGACTGCTCTACTGGAAGCACTACAGAGGGTGGTTGGAACGGCAGAGGTCATCACTGGGAGTAGTCCCCCCCCATCCAGGACATTTACCACAGCTGTGTGCATAAAGCATCATCAAGGACCACACTCACCCAGCAAAAGGACTTTTCTGTCTGCTATCTTCTGGCAGGCAGTACAGGTGCCTGTCGGCATACACAAAAAGACTTGAAGACAGTTATTTTCCACAAGCTGTCAGACTACTGAACTCTGGACAACAACACTGAGCTCTTGACAATAATATTGCAATAAGCCACATTTGTGAAACTTAATTTGCTTACTGCTGCTGCTCAATGTGTAGGTTTTTTTAAATTGCATGCTATTAGTACTTTTTTTTATAGCAAGACGGACGGTTCTTCTTATCTTAAGCATTTCATTGCATTGTTGACTTTGTTTTACCCTGCATATGACAAATACACCAAATTAGTAAATAAATCTTGTATATTATGAAAACATTTATTTTGGGAATAACATCGTTGACTCATCAATAGGAAATCCAACAACTACTTGAACTGTAATAATTACAACATAAACATGCAAAGAAATCTAAGAAATAGCGTTAGTCTGACAACATGAAGTAAGCTAAAAGATCTGAAAAACCAAAATATGCCTAATGTCGCTGACTTCTATCTGTGTGGACATTGTTACAAAGCCATTTCTAAAGTTCTGAGAATCCAGTGAATTACGGTGAGAGCCATTATAAGAAAATGGAGAAAACATGGAACAGTGGCTCCCACAAGACAAAAATATTCTGTAGACTGACAAGACAAAAGCAAAACTTCTCTAATTGAAGCATATTGTCACATCTCAAATCAAATCAAATGCATTTATTTAGCACATTTAAAAACAGTAGTTCAGAATTCAAAACAATTAAAAATATGACAAGACAAAATAAAACCATAAGTCAACTCTCATGCTCTATTAAAACCTAACGAGTACAAATGTGTTTTTAAGAGTTCAAACCTGTCTGATATGAAGGGGCTGTTGGTTCCACAGTTTAGGGGCTACATCTGAAAAAGCCCGATCACCTCTGTGGACCAACCTGGACCTTGGGACAACTAAAAGCAAATGACCATTTGACCTAAGAGATCTGGAGGGCACATAGGCCCGCAGGAGGTCAGACAGGTAAACAGGGGCCTGCCCATTCAGGTCCCTATATGTCATGAGAAGACGAATCATCTAGACGGCCTCCTCCTTGTCTACTGAAGCGGCATCTGATAGGCTGGACCAGGGCGCAGCTGCTACCTATCACCACCTTCTATAAATACCCAGGCTCAACATTCACTCATTGCGAGATCTTCTTATACAGTGAAGCAGTTAGTCCTGGCCTCCTATCTAGCTAAATAATGTCTAAAGAAAATTTAAGGTAATTCCAATCTTGTCTTTAGATAAAAATCTCAGTTTACAAAAAAATTATGTTTTTACTACAGAACTAATCTGTTTCTAAAGGTTAAAATTTGAATCAAGGATAAACCAAGATCTTTTGCATTAGATTTTACAAATAGCTACAGGCTACCTAGATCAGGAAGAGAAGAAGCTCTACGATTTCCACTGGGACCAAAAATTCTGTTTTATTTTCATTGAGGTTTGGAAAATTTGAGAGAATCCAAGCTTTTACCTCTGTGAGACAGTCAAAAAGGATGATTCCGCCTTAACTGAAAAAAGATCTGAGTGTCATCTGCATATAAATGAAATGAGGTGTTACATTTTCTAAAGATGGAGCCTAAGGGGAACATGTAAATAGAAAATAAAATGGATCCAAGAATGGATCCTTGGGGAACTCCATATGTGAGGGAAGCTTAAGGAGAAACGTCTGTTGGACAAATAAGACTAACACCATTTCAGTGCAGAGCCTTTGATACCACATAGGTCCAACCAGGAGAACATAGTGATCAACTGTATCAAAAGCAGCTGTCAGATCTAAAAGGAGGAGAATGACTGAGTCTCCTGAATCTGTAGCTAATAAAAGATCACTAAAACGTTTAAAAGTGCAGTTTTAGTGGTGTGAAGTGTTTTAAAACCAAATATAAACAATTTCAAGATTGTTGTGTGCATGCGTGGTTTCTCTCCGGGTACTTCGGCTTCCTCCCACAGTCCAAAAACATGACTGATAGGTTAACTGGTCTCTCTACATTGCCCTTAGGTGTGAATGAGTGTGTGCGTGGTTGTTTGTCCTGTGTGTGTCTGCGTTTCCCTGCGTTGGACTGGCGACCTGTCCGGGGAGTACCCTGCCTCCCGCCCATAGACTGCTGGAGATAGGCAGCAGCTTCCATGCAACCCACTATGGAAGAAGTGGTAGAAAATGACTGACCGACTGTTTTGAAATGGGCCAAGATTTTGAAAGAACAGATGCATCGAAGTAAGGTTTCTTCAACATTGGCTGCACAACTGCGAGTTAAAAACAGACTAGAACAACACCTGAACTAAGACTGCTGTTTAAATCTCTAACATCTGGTGCAAAAATAACTCAGCATTTCAGAAAAAACACCATACCAACAGTCAAACATGGCGGTGGAAGTCTGATGGTCTGAGGCTTATTTGCTTGTTTAGGACCTGGATGACCTGCCGTAACTGATGGAACCATAAATTCTGCTTTATACAAGAAAGTCCTGACAGATACTGTTTGGCCATCAGTTCATCATTTGACCTGAAGTTTTAGAACCTCAACATAAACATAAATAAACAGAAAATGAACACAGATCTTGAATTTTGATGGGTTTGGACATAGTGGTAAATTTCATTATTATACATTTTTCATCTGATTTTGAACCAGATGGTTAAAAACGTCCACCCAACCATTTCCATTGTTGTGCCTCATGCAGGTACTGCTGCACTCTCTCATGTGTCCTGCCAACAGTATTAAGTACTCTTCATTGCTTTGTGTCTAAAAAGAGGTGTGTAGATAATGCTTTTAGGCTCAATTGCATTTTAGTTATGCAGCAACGCAATGGTCTGAAGCATACCAGCAAGGCTACCTCGGAATAGCTAAAAAATAGTAATAATAAAGGTTTTGAAGTAGCCTAGTCAAAGTCTGAACCTGATTAATATGCTGTTACAAGATCAAAAATATGCCTTTTTATTCTCAGAAACTCTCCAGAGTAGCTTAATTAAAACAATTCATCCTAGAAGAGTAGACCAAAATTAGTAGCTGGTACTTTGCAGAGGTAGGTGATGTTTCACATAGGATCAGGTTGGTTTAGATCGATTTTTTTCCTTTAAATCAAGATTTGAAAAGTGCTTTTTGTTTTCACTTTGTCTGATATTAAAATGTACCTGATGATCTGAAACACCTAAGTGAAAAAAGGCAAAAACATACAAAATAACTTTAAAAACATTTAACAGTGACTTTTCACAGCATTGTATTAATCCAAAGGAAGAGTCAGGTTTGATGTGATCTGATAATCTGTTAAAGAGATAAAAACAAGTCTAAT